GGCATTCTAGGATTGCTGACTATTTAAAGTATGGGATTGTAGACAATTGAAAAATATTCTCTACAAACCTGCTTTCAGATTGGAATTGTATTCTGAGATTGTTACACATTTAAGACCATTCTTGCTCTGTAGTATTGGCAACTCTTAAAAGTGCTCTTACTTTAGCATCTTTGTCTATAAATGGTACTTTACTTTAATAACTACAGCCAATGGGACAATAAGCAATTGATACCTTGATATCACAGTCATCAAAATAATTTCGATACAATCTTGTATAATCGGTGCAATGACCAATACAGCAAATAACACGCATGGCTACAAAAATAAAAAAGCTTGCCATTATTATTCAGGAATATCTGGTGTTCTGTGCTGTTAAGAATTCAACTCCTTTTTGAAGGAGTTTATCTTGCTGCCATTTTATATTCTAATTTTAAAACATACATTATAGCAGTATAATAAATTAATAGGTACTCTCTCCCTGTACATATCATTAACTAGAAGCATTTATTCGTTATTAAATTAATGCGTCAATGATTTAATTTACACTTCTGTAGAACGTTAATCGCCTTTGAATAAGAGTTAGCGATACCAAATGAAGGATTTTTTGACTAAATGACAAGTTGAATCAGAAACTAATCTCAATAAATGCGGTCATGAGCATAGTTTAATCATATCGTTATACTTTGAAGAAAGTTTGTAATATTTTAATGGTACTCCGTCCCTTTCTATTAATTACTACATTAGATAAGAATATTTATAGTAAGTACGTACTTTTGATAGGTATGTAATTGTGTTTTGTGGCGGACAACTATTGATTATGTTTAATTCAATTGGAAAATAAATTCTTCGATATGATAATGTGTTCCACAGTGCTAACGGTAATTATCCCTTAAGCTATAGTCTAAAAAATTTCAGAAATTACTATAATATGAGGAAAAGATTTCTACCCTACTACTATCACTGCAATACTGTAACGCCAGTATTAATATTTCACAATTAATGTAGACTTTACTCAGTGAGTAATTTAATAGATTAGAACGGGTTTTAAAGCTAATTTCAAAAAATTGCAGTTCAATAAATACCAGGATTGTTCTTGTCTTTATATACTGAGATCAAAGAAACCGGAGATTAAAAGAAGTAGCATGAGACCTTATCTCAGAAAATTGTTTAAATTTTTCGCAGTCACACCAATTGTGTGGAAATTTATACGGTGAAATCGATAAATTGGATTACATGATTGACTTTTTAGTATCAGATCTATTATTTAAATGGTTTAATCTAAGTTTATCGAAATGTAAGGATTTATGTTGCATATATAATTATAAAATCCATTTCTTCCTACAAGATTAGCTGTTTTACAATATAATATACAAGCAATTTTTAAAAATAATTGACAAGTATAGCTAGATGCCGACTAATAATTTTACTAGATCGCTCAATCATACGGTGCCAATGCATTTTCGATATCTTACTCAGACATTTTTGAAAATTCCACCTAGCTTTGCAAATAACAACACTTCTATCATTATTTTAACGGAATTTAATATCGTACCGTGCTATATCCAAAGTAAAAACAATTTTACTAATCAAGTTTAAGCCATGTTTATTATACTTATTAAGTTGATGTTGTAGTACTTATTCAACCAAAATTAATAGATTACAATAAAAATATATTAATTTCAATGCTAAACTATTTAATCTAAGAATAATTTATACATTTTTGCGGTAATGCAAAATTTATTCCTAGAAAAATTTATAGAAAAGACAGCAATAGAGCAATAAAGTATTAGAAAATGCTTAGAATATTGTTACAGTAGCACATTGATAACGACATCATGTTTGTTACCTACATGCACACCGCGAAAGAAGTAGACAAGTGGACTAGTAACAGTATTTTGTGTCTGTACATCAGGCACAGTAGTAGTAAATTGATATTATTAAGACGTTATTAGAGTAGTATTATAAGAAACTATCTAACAGCAAAGTCTGATGATACTAACTTTGGTTCACTCTTCAACTGTAAGGTTACTAGACAGTTCTGAGATTTATACATGTTAAGACATGGAACGTAACTAGTACGTTATGAAGGCCAATTTTTCTTTATTCTTAGTTTAGAGGACTACAACAGGTACTTACCGTAGCGATATGAAATTAATAGAAATTGCATGGTGAGGAATGTAATTTTATATCAAGTAAAAGTAGTAATAAGTAAAATTTCGACTAGCCTATAAGATGAATAAGACGTTATAATCCATGACGTGATAGCAAAAAATCTAGAAGTGAGTACCGGAGAAATAATTATTACTTCTATGATTTCTATGTAGTAAATAAATATATTGGTGTTTATAGTAAGCCTCTGCTGAATTCATAATTTATTTATGGAAGAAAAAGCTCTCGTAAAACTTACAAACATCGAGATTTATTTCTGCTACGTTTGCTGTAAGTGTAGTTGTAGCGGTGTAGGAGCCTGATAGCTCAGCTCAGTCTAGTCCGGTAATTATGGCCTTTCTAAAAATGTTTGACAGTATTTTAAAAATTATGTTAACAGATTTTCTATGTGGTATTGATGTATAACATTTGATCTAGAATTAGTTAGCTTGCCTAATGTTTAGTGCTAATTAGTTATGTTAACTTGAGACTTGAGAATTCTGCTCTTTTTTATAAATACTGCAAGAAATTACAATTTTAGAAATTTACCAAGTAGAACAGTAATTTATCTAACTACATTCAGGAGATTCTAATTACTTAAACAATAATGGAATTTTATTCCGGTTAGCAATTGAAAATTATTACGCAGATTTATAAGAGCAGTTTACTATTTGACGACAAGACTAAATTTACGTACTAATTAGTATATACTTCGTTGTACATGGTATTCTAATATCATGATAAGTTACATCTATTAAAAGAAGTTACTTTATTGTGAAGCTTTATAGACTTACTAGTAGTCATAGCTATCTAATTATCAAAATGTTAGTTTTCACTTTATAGTTTGGACTAATAATGCGATATAAACTTCTTATAAAATGCTATAATACTATGAAATTGAGTAGCAGAAACCAATAAGAAAGGTCTAGACTATCTCTTTACTTTAAAAGGTACCGGATTGCAAATTAGAATACCAATAGATATGATAAATATTTATAATATATGTGTTATATGATTGGCTATTTTCGTTAAATTTATGTTATAGATTTAATGTAAGCGGAAGTGAAATGCAAAAAGAGTAAGTATTAGTTTGCTTCATAATTTAAAAATTGATCACATTTCAGATGATAATATAGACTTCTTTGATGGAATTTTCAAGGATGTTTCTCACACAAGCATCATCTATTGCTGTAATTTTTCTTTTACTACGTAACGTTTTATATCATGAAAATAATAAATTTTTTGGTAAACGTGTAAAAAGATCAAGTATGAACTTGAAAAATCTTCCTTAAGATTACAAACATTGATCATAAACACAAATTGACCCTGAATTTTACCTATTTATTAGCATCATAATGACTTGGTTAGGAATCATCAGCAGAAAATTAAGAACAAAAACTACACACTAATTGTATTAGAAAATGTTGTAATAAAAATTTTGTAAATTTTTTTAGATAATTTGAAACTCTCCATACTCACAAAATCTCGCAAATTGATAAACTTAATTCTAGCCGTTCATTAGTATTATCATAATTTGAGAAAGAATTATGAGCCACAAATGGAGAATAGGAACTACATCAATTGTATTCGATAATACTCTGATAAAAAATTTTTGCAATTTTTTTGCGATATTTAGAAACTATCTGTAAATAAAATGTATATAGCGTCTATATCTTGGAAGATAGATAGGAACAACAGTTATAAAGCTAATTTTACCGGCGTTAAACTAACAAATATTATCTAAAAATATACAGAAGTTGGATGCTGCTATTACTCTTTTCTAAAATGTTAGGTGTCATTATGAAACTACTGTGTATAGGCTCTAAAAGATCATTAATTATACCATTAATTATAGAAATTAGTTGACAAAAGTCAATTTTATTATCACAATCGAACTATAAGTCTTAACTGATATCATAGAACTTTAGTTTTCGGCTATTTCTATAAAACACGATAATATCTTACGTCATTTAATTGTCAATATTGATATGAAACTTTGATTTTATTCCGTCAAGTAGCAGACTGATTCTAATTATTATTCATTATCTTGTTTTCTTTAGTTCTGTATCTGACATTGCTAAAAAATATTAAAATGACATCGCGCATTGACTAATCATAAGCTACTTTACAGAGATCGACATCATTGAATTAAGGTAAATTTTAATTAATTAAGTACTAGTAATTGATGATATTCAAGTTTATTGATGTTTAAATGAACGTAATAATTGTTAAATACTGCTTGTAATACAGCATTTAGTGCCCACTGGCCACTACGTATTTTATAAATATTATTTTGCTTTCTTCAGTTCTATATTTGATATTGCTAAAAAAATCTCGAAATGACATCATGCACTGATTAATCATAAGCTACTTTACAGAGATCGACATCATCGAGTTATTGTTGGATTTTAGTAAATGTCAATAATTAGATGATACTCAAGTTTATATTGATCGAGTTAATGCAATAACTGCAAATACTGGTTATACTTCAGCATTTGGAGCCGACTGGCCACTAGGTATTGTAACACTGACGCCTTGACTAAGGATTTGTAGAATATTTAATATCCCACGATGACTACATCTGTATAAGCAAACAATATGCTTGTTACATATTAGCAAAGTTTCCTTATTTTTGTTGAAATAATGAAGGGCAAAATATGAATCGGTATTTAGGAAAGGTTAAGCTATTATCATCTAGTACTGACAGAACCTATAAATATCCCCAATTTTTATTTTCTTACAGCTGAAGTCTGAAAACCGGTTGATGTATCGGCAGAAATATTTCCTTTAATCAATCTTAGCATACATATTCTTGACATTAATTATTCTCTAGTATTCTATTTTGTGAGAATATGAAGATTTCTCTTGCTCTCGTGTGTATTTTACTCTGTATAACTACGTTTGCGGTAATTTATTGTCGAGATTATCAATCATTATAGCTGATTCATTTGTAAAGAAATAATGCGACTTAATTGCATAAGTAATCAACTTTATTTCTGCAATATCTTTTAGTTTGCTATGGTAAAATATCCTAAAATCCGAAGACCGATTTATGATAAAAAATTGTGCCTTCATTTCAATTTACTAATAGATACATACTCTCGAAGCGCCTATACCAGACGAAGTAATTATTTTTAAATTCATTTACTAGAATAATTATCAAGCGTATCTTCAATCTAATTTACTAGTAAAATTATACTCATTTTTTGTCCTTAATCCTTAATAGCGGCACCACCAATCTGTGGAAATAGCGTGATTGCTCTTAAAGTCTATGAGACATTAGTCATCGCTTGCCCAGGTGGTTGGAGAGGACATATTAGTAATGCAAAATTATGCGCTAGAGGTTATCATGTGTGCAATAAAAATGATCGAGCATCTCTACTTTCCAAGATCACTTTTTCGCGTGGTATTCAAATCCCTGGCTGCTATGCTTTTAATGCTGCCCATGATTTTGGACGATGTATTGATTGCAAGAATAGGGAACATCAAGATGATCTAGGTGGTGTAGGCATGACATGCCCTAGAAAAACCACTAGTCAAAATACATCCTGCTTAACAGGCGGAACTATTGATGCAGCAATGGATGTTTCTTCCTTTGCGACTAATAGAGCTTGCCATTATCACCCAGGAATATCTGGTGTTTTGTGTTGTGAGAATTAATCTCTATTTCTCAACGTGTCTATTTCGTTGTTATTACAAGTTCTAGTTTAAAGATATTGATGACAAGAACGAACGATGTTGATACGATATATGTGAACTAAAGTAGAGGCTAATTTGATGTGATTAAATTGATTTCAATTAGAATAGCTAATATAATTACGTAGAATACCGGTATGTATCGTCTTGAGTAAAATGTTTTGTTACAAGGTCAAATATCGCTTCGTTTAAAATAGAATAAGAAATTGATTTCCTAACGAATCTCAATAGGTACTGATATAATTATAATCTGTTGTAATAATGTTATTAACCTCTTACCCAATTTATATTATCAACTGATCTATTTTATGTTTGGATCGGTCATTAAATAAAAGTAAAATGAAATACGTTAAATGTCAAAATTAAAAATCTCTCCGTAGTTATTTACGCATCTTTATCACAAACCAGCTCTGTCATAAGATAACGAAATAGCTCAATTTATAAGTTCTTTCCTTAAACTACGTATCAGGGCACTGAAATCCGTCTAAGACAAGCTTAGGAACACTTTTCTCTAATTCCACAGATTCTCAATAATTTGAACGTCTTTGACTTTGCGTTAAGCACTACAATCAAGAACTAACTTTATTATCTAAAATGAAGGGCTCTAATACCTCTTTACAGTAGATAGAGGTTATAGATAATATCAAAAGTAGTTAAATAATTAGCTATTCTATTTATATCTAAATGCTTAATTACTACGGCTATGTTTATTAAGAATATCGATATTCGATGACTGATATAAGACAGTTAGATTATAATATGCCAATTCACAGAATCATCAAAACGCAACATAAATTCTAATATCGGTCAGATACAATCATATTTTACGGTACAAGGTACCGGTATGTAAAGTATAACTGTCTCGTAAACTAAATGAAGATATGCTACCAAACATTGCTAACTTCTCTATGGTAAGATATCTTCGTGATAATCTTTCAAAAATTTAGTTGCTTAGAAAAGTCATAAAATAACATAGATCTTGCGACTACAAGATTTCATCTGAGCAGGAGAATAGTTAACATTATTTAGAACTATACTTTGTTATAGACAAGTTTATAAAAAAATAATAGCAGGTATAATAAACTACTTGGTGTTGATAGATTATGAAGATTTCATTTAAATTCCAACAACACAACAGTAAGAATTTAAAACAACCAACTGAATCTCTCTGAATTTTGGTAATGTAGATTAGAGTGATAGTTATTATAATATTCATGAACTTATGTTTAAAATTCAGTATGCAATTCGGCGATGAATACATGGAAGACTACAAAAAATTTGGATTAAGATGTATAACTTGCTTCGATATCAGAGGATTATCACATCTGTTGGTAGCATGAATTAATTAAAGTAATAATTATTTTCAGTAGAAAAAAGTGAACTAGCAGCAGGCTTACAATAGTATTTCATGTTACTACCACATAATTTTTTTCTTCTTATTATTAATATACTATTAGATCGGCAGCACAAGGCGCTAACCAATCACTAATTCTAGTAATGTTTGCCTTAGATAGTTCTTTAACCTTATTGGTCTAATACTGTTTACAGAACTAGTCAGTTTTGATATTTTCATGTGTTATGATATGGCTAATTTATCTGCTGTAGCTGGGATCTATTAAAAGCCGGCTGTTCTTTTTGCTTAATTTAGAGGACTAAGATAGTGCTTGTATTGCTAATTCATCGTAGAGATGTAAAGTTAACGATGATTGTTAAGCAAAGAAATGTGATTTTGTTACATGTAAAAGTAGTGATAATTAACTTACATATACGAGCATATATTGATATGTTACGAGCTAAGATCAATCCTAACTTACAATATAGGTTGAGAGTGTGTTTTCGGATCTGCACTGCTGTGAATTGAAATACTAATTAATTTCTATGTAGATGTAAGTAAAATTTAGCACAGTGAGGTCTCGGATCTCTCTAGAAAATCACAATCTATCTCATTACGAGCGAGGCCGTAGCTTCTATAGGTTCATGTACCTAAAGCCGACTTAATTATACGATTTATCTCGTCTTTTAGAAATCAATCAAATTAATACTGTGAAGAGTCTCAATTTATACGGATTAAACAGTCTAATCCTGTTCAATTTACTGTGTCAGTATTCATTTACGACCAGGGATTACTTATTTCTATATGAATTGATAAAGTTACGAAGTTATTTATTTGATTTATTTACGTTCTTGTGACTAATCGTAATGTCAACATTACGTAACAGCGCAGAATTAGAGCTAGCTTTGAAATTTAATATTGTTAAAATCTTTATCCAGGCATCGATTAAATCACATAGTGTTCGGATGATTATTGAATATAGTGCTACGCTAGATCTTTACTATATATTCGTATACATCATTATGTGAAACTAAACTAGA